TTCCTATGAATTTTGAATCAGTTGCTTATACAGTCATAAACGAATGCAGGTTAATTACGCCTACTGTGATAACCACGCACTTCGATCCTTTAAGACTAAATCAGGCCGTGCACTCGCACTTTGTTATTGGTTTGAACTGCTTGAATGCTTTCCAAAGCAAGCAATCTTGTTGGAAAATTCGGTTTTTGGGTGCGAATATTAGGTCTCATTTAATTATTTAATTGAAGTTTAGTTTTGATCCAGGGAGTGCACAGTCACGCAAGCTAGTTGTGTCAAACCTTGAATAGTTGCATTCATATTTATTGGATGACGAGTTCTATTTTGATGCCGGGGTCGTGGCTTTTTCTGGTCGAACGATTTTTGTATTAACGTTCGGTAACGACACATGCTTATCATGCGCTTGACTCCTTCAGCGATTGAATTTCACGATGCTTGCCTCCTGTTGTTTCAAAGCCATTTGAGCGGTTTAGGACGATAAATAATTGCGAGTGGCGGCGCTGTATACCGTCAGATTTGACCATGGGGAATTTAATCGTTTGTTGTTGCAAACAGCCGTAATAACCTGTATTTGCTCGTAGTAATATAATATGTAATACTACTGGACATCGTATCAACTCAGACGGAGAGTTAATCCCGGTCCCCAACACCAGAGAATACTTGGGGATCATGCTTAGCAATAAATTGAACTGATCTGACCGCATGACCTCAGTGTTTGCAAAGGTTCGTAGGGCATTTTACTATCTATTCAGGCTCATTAGGCTGCCTGTATCACCGTCTACTGAAGATGTACTCTTCTTCGTTTTTGATACGTTATAGCACTAATCACCTATTCCAGGCGAGTGATATTTTCAATTTGAAAGACTTCAGATTACTGCTTCGAGCCGTAATGTTAATTGCTAGGATAAGCAAAATCCCTGCTGAACAAATTGCTGGTCGCATTGCAAGAATAATAATTGCAGCAGTCTGTCGTCTGAGTCATAGCATGCTGGCTGATGGCAGTCACCCTTTGTACCCGAAGTTTCAGTGCGTTTTGTCCCTGCATTATTTCACCCGCACCAGTTCATTGCTTTCTCAGCTCTTCGAACAGTACTCTACCAGCGATCCACCCACCTTCCCTGCCAAGGATCCTGCGACAGCCAGAGCTACAAGAGCACTTGTACATAATCTTCTGACCTGCTATTAATTTCCTATATATGCAGATTTTTCATTTTCGTATTTTTTGTGATCATAGAATAATGTTGTGTTATGTAGCGCGCGTTGTTGGTAGCAGCAGTTGTACAAGCTAATAAACCTTGACTTATATATCGAATTATGTGTATAACCCTACATGCAATAAAACTTGGTTAACTCGGGGGCCGAGAAAGTTTAAATCGCGTAGAACCTGACTAATTTGACAAGAATCAAGCTATAGTATTTTGACCACCCGTCCATAGTAACAATATCGCTATTTATTAAGATAATACGCAGTGTCAAGGACAGAGTTAGGACGGTTGTATTTTTTCCGTTATGGCAAAATATTCGTACACTTCCGATCGAGAGCAAATAGCAGTTGTGATGAGCATTGACATTCTTGTATGATTGCTGTGTATTTTTTTGTAGTTGATGAATGCTGTTAACATCAGCTGAGACTTCTCCAAAACATTTTGCGTCGTGGGTGTTATTAATTCAGTAATAAGTCATCTTAGTCGTGAATCAGCGCTTGGCGTTAAGTGCATGCATATGAAAGCCAAAAAATGACATTTGCTTAAATTTTAATGATATTGAATGTGATTTTGGCAGCATTAGTTCCTAAGTTGAACCTAAAATTCTACTTCTCCAGCAAAGGAAATAACACAAACGTTAACTTATCTCTGTTGCTAATTTTGTACTGAGTGGGACTCTAGAGTTGTCGTTAAGATGAACAAATGTAACTGTGAAGCTGAAGTAGTTCAGATGCATGTGACTACTTTTGTCCAGTTTTAACGCGTTGAGTTACTCAACGCGGTGTTGCCTGATATCTCGAACTTCGAAAATAGGAAAAGCCATCCTGAATGATTTCCAGAAACGCGGGAAGTCTGCCCGAGCCGAGATCGATATCCACATCCAATCCACTGTGTAAAATGGAATCTAGCTATGCTTCCCGATGCTACGGCCAATTATTGGCCTCAGGTGTAGATACAAAGACTAATATATTTTCGTAATGGACACTAGATGACAGAACTGGGGTACTTAAGGCGTTAACGAAACGCGTTATTTTCTACTAATTTTTCTCAGATTTGGAACTAAATGTATTGATTTTCTGAGCATGAGAAGAATTTTTTGAACCATAAATTATGCAACTACTTTTCTGGGAAATTCATTTTTTTCGATTTTGCGTCTGAACGAGTTTTCGAATAACCAGATTTTACCATAATCTGGAGATAACGACTGTTATGTTCCTTTATTGACGCTTGGCTGCAAAACTGCGAAATTCTGGGTCAGCTTATTGCGCGCGGTTTTTCCTTTTGACTATTGGAGCGGTTTTATGTTTTCCGTTGCTTGTTATCGGTGGTTATTAAAAAACACAACTTTGATTTATATCATTAACTTTAAAGTACTTTTTTAGAGTTAAAATACAGCAAACTTTTGTCAAAGATTCCTATTGTTTTTTGTAGCAAAATCAACTTTTCATTCTCAGCCAAATTGCAAGACAGTCCGAATGATCGTTCAGCATCTCCATCTAGCGTTGTGACAACGACTACTGACCTGATCTGTAGTACAAAACAGCAAAGCGACGAAAACGAAGCCAAACCCTTGAATGAACTTGATTCGGAGACCAAAGCCAGTGATGACGGCCGTGATTCTAAGTTAAAGATCGACGCAGCTGGTGATATCAAAGAAACGTAGCGAACAATCGCCCTATTGAATCATGTTGTATTGACGTTTTTATAGGTGTACGACGACCGACTCGAATCAAGATGATAATCGAGCGGCCGACGTTAATGTAAAGCCGCAATTTCAGTTTAAGTTTGATTTCCCTAAAAGTGAAACTTTTCAAATATCAGCACCTGAAGCTACGGTAAGTCATGAAAAAAATTAAAAAATTTCATGAGCGCATTTGGAAGTTTTGCGGTCAAGAAGGGTGTATATGACATAAAAAGAATTCGTGGCGCTCTGACGAGTTTGTGATGTTGTACTTTGTAATTTTCGATCTTTATGGGCAGCCTCAGAAATACGCAGCGAAAAATACATTTGCATGCATGAAATCATGATTATCCTCATATCTGTTTTAGTCTAAACATATATGATTGATAGCTGTTACAAATTTAATAAAGCGTATCTTATTCAACACTGGATTTAATGTGACAAAATTTCGACAGGTAAAGCAAAAAAAACTTGGGTCGCTCGATTGTTCGGTTTTATTTGACGATAATAAGAGTAATACGATTTATTTACGTAATTCTGTAACACCTTCATTCATTTTACTTGCCTCGTTAAGCATGTTAACTAATCAGCTGTAATGAACAGCAGTAAAATTCATAGTGTATAGAATCCTTGGTGGGAAAGGTCACCTATTAGGCTAACAAATTCGCAGTAAAAAAGATTCTGGAATAACACGTACTATGCTAGACGCTCATGAGTAACATGATGACATTTTTTCGATTAGCCGAGTGTCAGTCTTCAGCGGACATGGTGAGGTCTTATGCCCTGCTAGCCGAAATTGTTACAGGTATGCATAGTATAACGCATAACTCTCAATAGATGAGGTTTTATGATGCACCGAACCGCCTTGTTGCCTAAAGATGTCATTTAAGCAGTTCATTGCTGCATGGTAGTGTCACTTGCATCTCTCATCACATTTATCCGCTGAACCACCTCTGCTTCATCACCAACGATGTGTCGGTAGCTGATACTCCTAAGCTACCACATAAACATCGTTATCATCATGGTTGTACGCAGCAGTGTTACACATAGCGCATATCGCCTCTACAGCCAGAGATTGAGCATATGGTGTTACACCACTTAGCATTTACGTAGTGTGTATACATTCTTCAAAATTCCATATTATTTCGTATGCCTAGGCCTGAAACTAATTTGGCACATAACGTAAGATTTTGAATCCATTTGATTTACGTAAATCAATGTTGACGTTAATATCCGTACATGCTTATTATGCAGCATAAAACACGATTTATTATCATCGGAATGACCATGTTTTTACGCTGTTTATTAATCAGTCGTGTTTTATGCGGTTTCAACGTGTCTACAAACGCATGAACAAAATTCTCTTCGTGGTCAATAGTTATATTTGCGATGACTGAAATTGATTTTTGTTTATGGTGCTTTATTTTAAAAATTAAAGCGTTCATCTACGGGCATTTATCGGTGCGCACTTCTGTCTTGAGCTTATGATGGGTTATTCATTCAAAATCTGTGGATGGATTTGCTTGCGTCCTTCACGCAGCCAAACGCCGACGTAAGTGCGTCTGCACCGTTTAAAATTAATTCTCCATAATTCACCTGGTGCATCACCAACGCTGATGCCGAACATCGCGTAGTGGTAGTCTTGACATTCGACTAACAACGCTGTGGTGCAGTTTTGTGTGATTTTTAAAACAGCTGTACCTTTAAAAATGACAGTGTAATTCCAGACACAGACAGGATGATTGAGGCTACTTCTGCATTGATTAACAAAAGATGGACGGTTCAGTTTTTTGAATGGCTGATGACAGCTGTTTGCAAAGAAATTAGAAAGCTTCAGTGTTTAATGAACGAAATCAAAAAACAAAAACAAAACTGCATACTTCTGCAAATACCAGAAGAGAATTGGATTTTAACTTTCATTGTGATTTGGTACTTCGTTGTACATGTGGCTGCGCATGATAACTATTTAAAAAGGTAGCACACGAAGCTGTTTAATTATATACAACGTAATATATTGAACGTTTTTGGTGATATAGTTAGATGAATATATGACAGCTAACGTATGTTGTCTTTTTACAGATGGAGAATCTGCAGTAACGTCTCAGAATGCTTTCTACGTTTATTACGTGTACTGGTCACGGGTTGAGCGGTCCCTTGCTCATCATCTTTATGCATGATATCCCATTTACTGGGGTTCCAGAATTGTATAGGGCGCTGTTGGTAACCGATTCATTCGATTAAATAGAACCCTTTTAGCGATGGACGATTTGATTAGTGAAATTCGCAGCTGATCTGATATTCGTAGTAGTTCTTACAGGGGAGAAGTGAAAGTTTTTTGGTGGAATTTGATGCCATACGATGAACAGGAGCGCCGTTTATTCCGTCCAACGATCTTCTTGCAGTCTAACTCACCTTGTGAAAATATGTTGAATATGATGAAATCCTTCATCGATACGCTTCTGTCGTAGTGCTTCTGTATCTTTTCTCTGACACCCTGGCGTTTAAGGTCGTAATAGGTTTCTGATGTATTAAGCAGTGCTGTATAATCTGAAGTGCTGCATATATCCTTACCACTCTGACACGATTGAGCTTGTAAAAATTAATCCAACGAATCACAGTGACCATTTGCTTCAAATCCGATTTAACTCGATATCGTAGCTAAAGGTGCATTTTCTTCATATGCGTACAGTGCATTTGCATTGCCCTTGCTCTACAAGTCTTGAGGACCCGTTAGTGGAACAGAACTCTACAACTACACTAAAACTACAATTGTTCTTACTAGCAATGGGGAAAACTAGCTCTCTTAGTAACCTCAGCTTTTGAACCGTTTAGTTTCAAAACCTAGTAATTGTTCCCTATGTATGGAAGCTATTCTTTCCAGAGATCGAACGTTACTCACGTTGGCTTCACATTTCAGTAATTACATTACCGTTTGTTCACGAATAGAAAAATTCGATAAGTTCGGTTTATATTAAGCCATGTATCATTCAGAAGCCATCGGATACGAACGTCTCTGCGGCAGTTGAACCGACGTTTTCTTTCGGCGCGTCTCTTGGTTCTTCGAGCACTTCTTTTGCAGCAACGATGAATTCAGAGGTGACCACTTCTGCAGAGGATGGTAAGCTTTTGCTATGGACCAACGCACGTTAAAGATGATTTAAATTGTGGTATAATTCACAAGCGTTCGTTTTCATGTTTCTTGTGAGTGACAGTTATTTATCTAAAGAGGGGGTTTCAAATATTTTAAAGGGGGGCGGGGGTGAGGCAAATCATGCCCCCTCGCACATTTTCGTAAACTTGATCTTGCTTGATCTGCGGCAGCTAGCGGAACAAGTACGTCCTGGTAGCCGGCAAAGCTGTCTCCTGGTTTATCGCTTTGATACTGCGTGTTCACCGCGGCTCTTGTGAGTTCGCGTTGGTATTCAAAATAACGTTGTGCAAATTAGACGAAGCAGCATACGTGCCACCAGCTGTCCAGTTGCAACCGATTACCGAAGAAGGATCGACTTATTCCGTTAAGTATGAACTTTCTTTATCGATATTAACCACTGTTTTGTGTTTAAATCTGTCTCTACTCAGGTGCAAGTTATTTTTCAAACTTCCGGACAAGGAGTACCAAGAACGTGGCATAGGTTATCTGTTTTTGAAACCAACCGACGATGCGAAAACACAACTTATTGTAAGAGCGGATAACACTCTCGGTAAACGAATAGCGCTTGTTTTTAGTTTAAGAATGGACGGTTTATATGTAGAAAGTTTTTTTGTTTTGTTCATTATCAGGATATATATTTCATTCTCTAATTGCTACTTCTTTGTTCTTCATCCATCGTATGACTGGGAAAGGGAGCGATGAATAACAGCTTTATAGCTGAATGTCCATACTTCTGAGCCGACAAATAGCCACCGCAGTAACATTTTGGACATCCGTTTTGTTGACGTCGATCTTTCGCAGCGGGCATTCAGAAATAATGTGCTGCATTGTCTTATCTCGATGGCCACTGTCACTCGGCTTTGTGGGCTCAACTTCATCTTCCAATGGCATAAGTGTTGCCTGCAGTGATCTTGTCTCGTTCGAAACCGGTTTATTCACGATCATTCTTAATGATTAAAGTACACTGCAGGGGTTCTGCTGTTCGTTTGAAAAAAAAAGTTTTTGTTACTGACGATTGTAATCTCCCATTCACTTCCTCACTGGTCCTTAAAACTCAGTTGCCACAACACAGCCTGTTTCTACTGCTGTTGAAGTTATTTCATTTTTTTCATCGACTAATATTGGAGGTTACAGTAGATTGGAAGTTGCCGATTTCTGTCAGTGGTTCGGAAAGCGCGAAATGTATGACCGCTTCATACGATGGTGAAAGGGTTCAATCTATGATGAAAGTTGAGAATCAGACGTTTTGTTAACTATTAACAAATAGTTGGCTTTCTTTTTTTCCAGCGAAATCATAGCTCTATCAAAGGCTATTTCCTGTTATTTAAAAAAAATTGTTATACTAATACTAAATGGTTCTTAACGAATTATTCAATTTTAGGAAACATTCTCTTGAACATATTGCTCACCGCAGCTACGCGGCATAGCAGGGTCGGTAAGAACAACGTGTCGCTTGCTGCTGTACCAAACCCTCCACTTGAGGGTAGCCAGAACCCATCTGATCCGGTCGTTTTTTTGATTAGAGTTAGAACCGCTGAAGATGCTGACCAGCTGTTTGAACAGATCAGTAATGCAACGATGA